TGAGAACAGTGTAAGCGTTCAAGCAAACCACTTCTGAAGATGCAAGCCACTCGTGCTTGCGAAACGTCAACAAGAAATTCTACCGAACAACGGCCTAAAACCCCGAAAAACCCATTAGTTTCAAGGAATGGCCTCGAACGTCTATCTCTTTTGGTCAACTGAATGTTCATACACCTTTTCGAAAAAAATACACCGAAGTCCTGAATAAAAATGATTATTTAATCATTTGTGCATGTACGCCCATTCGATGATTCAAAATCATTTCAAGAATTCAGTTTTAAATTTCGAGCGAAATTAATAACAGAATTAATTTTATTTTTCTAAAAATATTGACTACTAAAAAAAACCGCAAAGAAATCACTTAAAATGAAACTGTTGTTCAATTTACAAGCGATGACAGAAACAACGAAATTTCAACTAGTGAAAAATGTCCTTTAACAGTTCTCAGCGCAATTCGAGGTGCGATGAGTTATACCTCATTAACTCAGAGCGGCATCAACGCAAAAGCGCAACTCAACACAGTGTTACCCATGGTTTACTCAAAAAACGTGCTCACTTGCCGTTTTGAATGAAAACAAATATCGAAGGCGGTTGTTGCAGTTGCATGGGCTTTGATAACCTTGCCCCGAGCTACTTAAACTGGTCGTAAACGCATCCAACACAAGAAATCAAAGAGGAAGGTTGCCTACCCCTTTTGTTCGACAATATTACACGAAACCGAGGCGTGAAGAACTAAATTTGCCGTGAAATGAGCAGCAATGGTTTCGTGATTGTGGTGGTTGGAGTCGGGAATCGATTAATTTTATCGAGAAGTTTTCAACACTGGTCTAGTACGTAACCCAGATGATTTTACCTCAACTTTTGGTTTCTTTTGCGATCGGAAATCGTGGTTCTCGTTGGAATACAAGCCCGACACGCACTGCTTAGATAAGAGATATTAGATTACCGGCATTCAACGGGAATATCCGATTTCTGGTAAATGAATGCGAAGACAAAGCCAGATCGGATATGTTAAGATGTTCA